TTACTTTAAAGAGACTATAGCAATAATTAATATGACATTAGAAGCAGTATGCATTCAGAAGACCAAAATATCACGTCTGTGTCTTGTCCTCTTAATAACTACTATGAAGACAATAATATACAATGTATTAATTATTGTAACCATCCTACTAACCTGCTTTGAAACTCATTCATTGCTATTTTATCTTTTTTCTCATTAAAATTAATTTTAAAAATAGGCATTCATAGTTTAAAGATAACAATATCTCTGCAGATAGACTTCATCCTTCTTTAAGTGGTTGATTTGCCCAGTAGTTTCCCAATCTCATCAAACAAATGTACAGTGTTTTAAGAGAATCAACTATTTGAGTGCCTAGATTTATAGGAAAAAAAATTAAAGAAGTGCCTACTTGCTTTATTTTGAGAATTCTTTTAACTATCAAACTGATAAACATGGTTAAAATATGATTCAGTATAAAAACTTACATACAAAATTCAGGAACATGATCATTGAACACTCAGGTACTCAGTAATTACTTGCTGGTTGGGTGAGCATACCTATTGAAAATCAGTAGAGTGAAATGGATAAGAGTGTGGGTTGGGGTCCAGATATGCCTGCGTTTGGATTCGATCCTTGCCATTCATTAACTGTGTGTGACCTTCAACAAGTGACTTAGCTCCCAAGGCCTCGGTATTTCTGATAGAAATATAATAAACGAGTGGTGTTTACTTCATAGTTAATTGCATTAAATGAAAGATGTAAATAAATACATCCAGGATTTGCATATGTCATCATATACCACATTTTATTGTGCATTATAATGTCATGCATTATCCCACTCACTTAATTTCTGCTTGCCTGAGTGGAAGCAAAAGAGTAACGAGAACTAAACACAAGGAATATTGTATTTGCAGATATAATGCAGGTAATTATGGAGTTTAATTACATGTCTACTTCACTTGTATATGGGACAGAGTAAATGGTAGTTATTATTGGGAAAAGCAGCAAATAATACTTCTGAAGGTTTTGATCTCTACTTTGATGTCCATGAAAAATAATTTTGTGCATAACACTCCAAGACGTTTTATTGCACTGGTAGTGTGAGAGATGAAAGGCTTTGTGTGATGAGATTTTTATGGCCTTAGAATTATGGGAAAACAATTAACAGGTATAGAAGTTAATTGTAGCAGAGATCAGCTTGTACAGTTGCTAACATCTATTTCGTGCGCGATGATTATTCATTCTGCAGAGTAAATACTGTGACTGGTCTTCTCTGAGCTTTTATTTTATAGCATTACCTGCTTTCTACCTTCTTAATTTAAAATATTAAAGGTAAATATTTCATGTAATTTCCAGAGTAGAACAGAATGTCAGTTGTTTGGAATAGAAATGGAAAAAACAGCACAAACTGCTTCAGATTTAGAGTCTAAATGAAGGTCCTCCCTCAGATGGCCAAATCTGTCTTCTAGTTTGATTTTCTGGCTCTTTTTCTTCTCTCTTTCCTTCTAGCCCCACTAGTTTGTCTAATAAAGTTGAGAATTCTCACAAAGGGTTTTATAAACATGTGTTATTAGATTTTAAATCTGATTTGAAAGTGCCTCTCTCCTACTCCCTCTGAGTAAAGTGACCTTTTTAAATGGAGGGAAGTGGCTTTAGATGACAGTCATGATAAATGCGGTCATGTTCACTCAATAAAATAAGGCCCAGTGCATTTGAGGATAAATCAGTGAAATGTACAGCCCCACCTGTCTGTCTCCATCATTCATTTCCACTGTCACTTTCACAGTGGCTGATGGATCACAGTTGCTGTAAAATTAGACAGCCTTTAATCTCATTTCATCCTGATTAGCTTCTCTTTCCCCTTTCCCTCTAACTCACTGACTGACACGCTAAAAACTCACACGGGGCTGTGTACGCACATGGCAGATGAACCTCCTCCACTACCTGCTGGGAGGGCAAGGCAGGTGTCCATCGCTGGAGAAATCTGGAGAGCAGCACAAAGGTAGCCGGGGTTATTTAGAAGAGAACCATCAATGCAGCACCCACGCCATGTAAAACATTGTGTGCTCTTCCTCGCTGCCCTATTTATTTTGTCTTCTTTTGGGTTTAAATGGAAGTCAAAGAAATTGACTTTGCAAAATTCAAACATTGAATTTGAATTCAAGAAGTTGAATTTGCAAAATTCAAACATTAAATAATAAACATTAATTGAATTTTTTCTAATAAATTTGGGAACATTTTACACTCAAAATAATTTCAAAGACTTAGTCTTGTGTGTTTATAGCCTCATACTTCATGGTACTAATTCTAAAAATAATTCAAGAATGAGAATATTAAAATGCTCAACCACATAGTATAGCATGTGCTATTTTAAAATAAGAGTAGAAATATGTAGGTTTGGAGAATGCTTTTCAGTAGTCTTTAAATAAGGGCTTCACAAACCTTCTTTCCTCTTATTTTGAAGAGTTTATGAGTAAGCTTAGTGCAATAGTTTCATTCATTTGCATAAAGCATAACAATAGGGGTAATCAAATGAAAAAGAGGCTTAAAAATAAATCATGTATTATTTCTTTCACTTAATTTCTGCTTGCCTCAATAGAAGCAAATGAATGGTAAAAACAAAACATAAGTATTATTATATTTTCAGAGATTGGGCTTCATTATGAAGCTAGACTTATGGTTAAAAAGAATAAAGTACAACTTTTCATTACTTTAAAAGATTTGGAAAAGGGCCGGCCTGATAGCTCAGCGGACTAAAGCTTCTGATTAGACAAAGCACAGCAGCCAGGGTTCGATCCCCCATGTGCCATGCTGGCTCCAACCCCAGAGCACCCTGAGACTGCAGTTGACATTGGGCATAGTGGTACATGACTGTAATTCTAGTGCTTGGGAGGCTGAAAACAGGAGGATCACTAGGAGTCCAGTCTACATAGTGAGACCCTGTACTAAATACATTTTTTAAAAAAGATTTGGATATTGGACTAACCAAAAGTTAAAAAGAAGAAAGCATGTGGAAGTGGAGGTGACAGAGTAATTTGACCATAGCTAGTGGTCTATTTTCCTGCACTAAGTCCCATATGAGTTGATATCTGTGGATCAGAAGTAATGTAGAAGTCT